TACAGCTGGTAAAAAATACAAACACGCTCCGAGCTGCCAGTTTGACAGAAAGACGACGCTCACATCATTGCACTCACGGAGTCAAGAGCCGAATCAGATATAATTCAGTCCACTCTATCAGCCCTTTTCAATAGTCGTGCTGAGCCAAATAGTCCCGACAGCCAAGGACAATTGTCCTTTTGTCCTCACGCATGGACTGCCTCATTCTGGCTTCTGTTTTAGAAACATTTTTGTGTCTCTCTTTCTGGTTTGTCCAAGGAACTTTCTTCTTTGGAGATATTTACTGATAACATGCACATTTGCTTAATCCTTTAGCTGCAGACTTTGATTAGATGGGACAATTTGTTGTTTGTTTTTCAAATGAAATGCCCCTCCTACTCTTTCCAACTCACTCAACACAGATTGCGATGAAAGGAGGGAATAATCAAAGAGTTGGTGGTGGAGGTGGAAAAGATTGAGCGGGGGGAGGCAAGTTTGTTTTACCTCTTGCTGATAAAGTTTTCTCAACCAGATTCACAGAGAAATTTAAAGGAAAACAAATTGCAAGAGGGGTGTTTTGAAAGGAGAAGTGGATGCTTATGGTGACATATATTTAGAAACTGCAGGTCAAAACTATAACCTAAGGCATTGCATTCGCTCTTTTGATGGCCTGATCATATGTATCCCTGGATGAAAAACATACGTGTATATTTGCAATAGCCAAAAAAGGTCAAATTTGTTTTTTTTTTACTTTTATATTTTAAGTATATCAATTATATATAGAGTTGAAGTCAGAATTATCAGCCTGCTTCAATTTTTTTTCTTCTTTTTAAAATATTTTCCACATGACGTTTAACAGAACAAGGAAATTTTCACAGTATGTCTGATACAGTATGTCCCTGATACTATTTTTTCTTCTGGAGAAAGTCTTATTTGTTTTATTTCGGCTAGAATAAAAGCAGTTTTTAATTTTTGAATCACCATTTTAAAGTCAAAACTATTAGCCCCTTTAAGCTATACTTTTTCTCAATAACCAGAACAAACCATCATTATACAATAACTTACCTAGTTACCCTAACCTGCCTAGTTAACCTAATTAACCTAGTTAAGCCTTTAAATGTCACTTTCAGCTGTATAGAAGTGTCTTGAAAAATATCTAGTTAAATATTGTTTACTGTCATCATGCCAAAGAGAAAATAAATTTATTTTTAGAGATGAGTTATTAAAACTAAAAAAAAATCATCTCTCTGTTAAACAGAAATTGGGGGATAAAACAGGGGGCTAATAATTCAGGGAGGCTAATAATACTGTATGTATATATATATATATATATATATATATATATATATATATATATATATATATATTTGAATATATTTGTAATATATTATTATATTATTGTAGTATATTTGTAATATGCATTGCTAAGTGCTTTATTTAGAAAAAAAAGGGATTTTCTCAATATTCTGTTTTTATATAACTGTGAGATTCCAGATTTTCAATAGCTGTACTGTATCACAGCTAATTATTGTCTTAACCTAACAAAGTATGCAACAATGCAAATCTTATTGTTGCCTCACAGCAAGAAGTTCACTGGATCGCTGGTTCGAGCCTCGGCTCAGTTGGCGTTTCTGCGTGAAGTTTGCATGTTCCCCCTTCGTTCGCGTGGGTTTTCTCCGGGTGCTCCGGTTTCCCCCACAGTCCAAAGATATGCTGTACAGGTGAATTGGGTAAGCTAAATTGTGCTGTACAGGTGAATTGGGTAAGCTAAATTGTCTGTAGTGTATGAATGTGTGTGTGAATGACGTGTGGATGTTTCCCAGAGATGGTTTGCGGCTGAAAAGGCATCCGCTGCGTAAAAATGTGGTGGATAAGTTGACGGTTCATTCCGCTGTGGCGACCCTTAATAAAGGGACTAAGCCGACAAGAAAATTAATGAATGAATTTTTCAATAACATATAAATTTGAGTGTATTAGTTTTTGGACCGTTATCATAAGTTATTTTGTTAGATAGATGCAGTGATGAAGTACCTATAGTTAAATAGCTGGGCTGGTTACCAAAAGGTTGCAGGTTTGAGACCTGTTAGTTCAACGAACCATTTCTGCTGTGTAACCCCAGGTTGCTCCAGAGGAACTGTCCCTGTAATAAGAGTACAGTAAGTCATTTCGGATAAGCGGATGTCTGCTAAAATGACTACTTGTATCCAAGGCATTCATTAAAAGGAGGGATGGGAAATCATAACCAACAGAGCATGGCGTTAACATACTGTGTGTTCTGGCAAGAAAAGGAACTTTCAGTCTTAAACAAATAGACAGTTTTGGGATGCTGATTGACTGATACCATCAAACCAAAATGTAATACTGTGCATGTTAGCACTTGACAGTGCTTAACTTATATATTTGAAATAATTATTTTTGAGAACTCTATTAGGTTTTAGAGAATGTCATCATTTACTCACCCTCCTCTTTCTTTTTGTTTTCAACCCAAGAGAATATCATTCATTCATTTTCTTGTCGGCTTAGTCCCTTCATCAATCCGGGGTCGCCACAGCAGAATGAACCGCCAACTTATCCAGCAATTTTTTACGCAGCGGATGCCCCTCCAGCCGCAACCCATCCCTGGGAAACATCCACACACACATTCACACACTACGGACAATTTAGCCTACCCAATTCACCTGTACCGCATGTCTTTGGACTGTGGGGGAAACGGGAGCACCCGGAGGAAACCCACGCGAATGCAGGGAGAACATGCAAACTCCACACAGAAACGCCAACTAAGCCGAGGCTCGAACCAGCGACCTTCTTGCTGTGAGGCGACAGCACTACCTACTGCGCTACCACTGCTTGAACCAGTGACCTTCTTGCTGTGAGGCGACAGCACAACATACAGCCTACAGCCTACCTACAGCACTACCACTGCTTCGCCCCCCAAGAGAATATATTTTGCAGAATGCTGGAAATCAGTAGCCAGTGACTTCAATAATAGTTTTGTTTGTTTGTTCCTATGTCTGTCAGTGACTACTGGTTTCCAACATTCTGCAAATTATCTTTTTATGTCTTCATTCCAAAAAAAGAAAAAAAACTCATGTAGGTTTGGAACCACTTCATTTTGGGTCAGTTATTCTTTTAAGTTCATTATTTTTGTGAGTTGTGCACAAATTGTAATTGAATTGAGAATGCTATATGATTTCAACAGACTTCATGCCGCATATTTATTTATGTTAAAATCACAGCACTACACAAGCATCTGGTATAGTATTCTCATAGAGTAAACTAGAGAGACTAAGAAATTATGCTATCCAAAATCATATAATCTCAAAGGCTAACAGGCAATATATTTTGAAATACCTGGTGCACGATTACAAAACAGTTAAGATGCTTACAGGATGTTGCTATAAAAAAAAAAAAAAAAAAAACAGGGAGGAGTCTGTAAAAAACTGAAGAAATAAACACACACACACACACACACACACACACACACACACTGGACAAGACATCTAACCAGCTTCAGCCTTAAACCTGAATCAATCTGGAGTGGTGGTTTCAGCTCATACCATCCCTTACATCACACAATAGACATGGCTTCATGGGCAAAGGCAAAGGATGACAGCTCTATTGAAAGAATGCTACAAAAGCCAAGCCTAATGTTTGCAAAGCCTTTTATACATAAGCCCCAGGTTTTAAGGTTGTTTAAGGCCAGATGAAACCAAAGTAAAGCTCTTTGAGAATAAAATGCATAAGTTTGCATACAGATAATAAGATGAAAACAACACTCTACCTTTATAAAACATGGTGACAGTTCTATTGTGGTGCTGCTTTGCTGCTTCATTGATTCTACTTTCTGATAATACTAAATGGTTAATTTTTCTAAATTTTATACTTACCATTCAGGGGTGCTAATAACTGTCAGTCACAATATATTACATTTTTGATAGCCATTATTTGATAGGACAGTAGATTGTCAGAAGTGGAAGAGAGTGGGGGACAGGATTAAGAAAGGTTCATGAGTCAGGACTCAAACTCAGGATGCCCGGAGCGCAGTGGCATAGAGGACGAGCCCGCGAGGGGCCCCTTGTCTTCACGATTTTCAATAATTGGGAACAACTGTGGTCGGAAGCAAAGTTCACAGGTCTGTGTTCTCTGAACTCCTCTCAAGCGGTGGACTACTTCATTCTGATTGCTCGCCGCCGAACCGCGTCATAGCTCATTACCATAAAGTTGAATTGATTTTAACTCTCCTCGACGCCCACACACAGGAGAAGACCATTGAAAATGAATGACTTCCAGCTACTTTGACGCTCTCGCCGCTTTCGGTTTGTGATCGCTCCTCAGTTTGTGAAGGCTTCCCCGCGTTGTCCCCCCCCCCCCTTTCATCAGGGGGCCCCGTCAGTGATCCCTGCAGGGGGGCCCCCACATTTTGCGCTACGCCACTGCCGGAGCGCTGTTGCACCATATGTCGGAGCAATAACCACTGGGCTATCGCACCAAGTGTATACCCACTTTATAATTTTTGTGTTTTATTCAAAATAATAACATTAATGGATTCCAGAAACTTTTCCTCTTTATAGTACTGCGGATTTGTGGGTTGCGTAAATATTGTTTAGTCTTGTCATGTAAAACCAAGAATTAAATTTTCTAAATTAAGATTTAGGTTTGTGATTAATTTTGGAGAATTTCCCCTTTGCAGTACTGTCCACTTTCCAGAGGCTGTAGTTGCCACTGTCACTAAATATAGGCCTATATGATTAAGTCATTGTATGATGTTGTTCAGGAGTTATCTAAGGATTTGGTAGCTAACTACAGGTCTGTTGTTGAAAAACTTCCCAATTAACACTCTGGCTGTAGATATGCAGAGATATCAGTTTTTAATTGTTGTGAGATTGTCATACATCCAGTTCATGCATCGATTCAACAAGCTCACCTAAAAATATCGTTCTCAACAGCCGGATCAAAGCCGGGGTCAGCTTCGCCGTGAATCCCGCCCTACCGTTTAGCCTAAATAAACCGAAAGGCGGGGCTTGTGAGCGACAGAGAAGCAAAGTGTCCTGTGGTGAGAGCTGCAGAGCCGTGTAGTGTGTGTCAGATTTCATTCTGAGAGAGACTCACGAGTGCGCAACAGTCAGACAAACCCGTCAGATGGCACGACCGAAGCACACGGACTCCCACTAGAGCCGGACCTCACTTACCAATATCTCCATGCACTTGATCGAGCAGCATGCCTCTGCTGAGGTCGTTTTGAAGAGTGACATTTTCACGTGAAAAACGGTTAATTTGCTTGAAAGGAGAACTTTATCAGTGATCAAGAATCCTGTCAGACTGATAAAGAAGTGGATAAACTTTAAATTGCCTAAATATACGCTTCCCAAACATGGAGGACATGAAGTCGCGAGTATCACCTCAGTCCAGTTGGGAGAGGACCTGCCGTCAGCATCCCTGCCAAAAGCGCCTTTTGACGAACTGGAAGGACGTGTGTGCCTTCTGTGCGTGTTTAATCTCGTTTGGAGTTTGTGTGTTGCTCTACCTGAGGACGTCAGATCTGCAGTCCAGGGTGCTTAGTTTGGAAAAGGACAGAGATCCTCGTATCTCCAGTTGGGTCTCCCTGGAACAGGTGGAGCCCGTCCTGTGGAGTCGATTAGATCAGATATTAGAGGAGGTGAGCGGCAATCTTAATTGTTCAGAAATTAATATTAACCTTTTGTCATAGCCTACTTACAATTTACTGGAGTCAAGGGTGCGAGGACGGAGAGAAAGTGAGATCTGCATGTTGTCCCACTAGAACTTGGAGAGTTCAAGAGGAAAGGTTGAATATTATGAATATATGACTGCGTATTGTTTAAACTATGAAAGGTGATGAAACCGACAATCTAACTCCAAATCCCTACCTCAGAATTGTAATTTGTTTATTTGCCCTCCTTTGTTTACGCACTTTCACTGCAGACAGTTTGAGCTTTGGCCGACTTTCAAACGCACATGAATCAAAACATACCCAAATTCCTTGGACTGCTTAATAAATATTTTTTGGTAATTAGCGTACAATATATCAATGGTTTGGTAAATTGCATTTTACTTGTTTTTTATGTATCTGTTTCGTTTGTAATCTCGGGCAGCTTTTAAATACACTGAAACATGCTGAGTTCCACACAATTCATTCATGTTGTCCCAACACAAATCGATTAAGTTAACACTTTCAACAGATTTCTGTAGAGTGAACATAAACAATTAAGTTGTCCAAATGAAATCTCGAGAATTGTGTTGTGTTAGCTCATTTTAATTAAGAAGTTTGAACAAACCAAAAAATAAAAATTTGAGTGTAGTCTAATTGTGATAAACGCAAAAATAAGTAAAATAAATGATTAAATAATCTCTTAATTTAATATTTTAATTTAACTAACAGTTAGATTTACTTCTCTACTGACTAGTTAATATTAACCAATTCTTCAATAAACTATTAATTTCGAATTCAGCATCACACACGAGTGAGAACATGATTAAATCCTGATGCATTAAGTTTTTAAGTTATTGTAGCTCTTCAGATGCCGGGTCAGACTCTTTTAGATGGCTCGAATTTTTCACATCCTATTTAGCATTGCCCTAGAACGAGTATCTATAAATAATGCAGTCATATTGCCAAAATTTCCTGCTGTCATTTCACACATGCATCAGTCTAGCTGTCTTAATAAAAGTACACTCATTTGATATGATCTGGTAAAATCAGACCGCTTGATAAGCATGTCTGCTTCTGCAAGCCTTGACTGTTGTTGTTGTTCAGCAGAACTGCTATTTGCAGCATGCAGGACCTGCTAAACACATTTTGTCACCTTATGACACCTGTTTTAAATCAACAATCAAGTACTTCTGCACTGGCCGAGCAAACAGCATCTGTGAAGAATAGGTCTGAGCTTGAAGCTGTGAGGTGCAGAAAAGTGAGATATATACATGCAGTACATTGCCTGTGGCTGTGGTCCCTTCACACTGGCCTCTGGTGGTTCAGCACCTAGCTGCATGTAAAAAATCTGCAGTGTTTAAAGTATCTTGGGTTGAATTTTGCTTGCGGAAAGGCTGCCATCTCAGTGTCTGTGGTTGATATAATATAGTTTGCAGAGGAGGATGCAGGTTGTAAGCACACTGGAGTAGAGACAGCCAAGTGTGAGTCAACCTGAGGTTGAGTGTGATTACAATGTCTGAATAATAAGTCATTGACAGGAGATCTCACTGAAATCTTTCTGGAACTTGTCGAAGATATAGAAATGTGACTTTTTAGCTTATTACAAAATGTTTCTTTTGTATTAATTACGTGCATGTATAACTATTTCTTCAGCATGCCTACATTTTATAGTTAAAATAGTTATATTACACAATTATAGCAATTTTAAAACATAATGGCAGATATCAAAAAATCTAATCAAATAAAACGTCCAGATGTGTAACAGTAATGAGCATTTTGAGGGAAAATGTCTTTAATTTTAAATTGCCTTCACTTTTGTTTAACACTTATGGGTCTTTGAAAGCATCTGAACTGTTTGTCTCAAGGGTGTTTGCTAATCAAGTCAAGATGTTTTTTTATTGACGTATTGACAACAGACATTTCGGCATCACCATTAAACGCATGTATAAGTCTCCATTAAAGCTGTGAAACATATACATTGGAAGCGCTTGATGAAGGTTAGAATTGTGCCGATTTCACAATTTTAACTGAATGTGCCAGAATGTGCTTTAGAGGTGTAATCAAAATCTGGTTTGGAGGGGGGTGGGGGGAGGGGGGGGGGGGGGTAATGTAGCCAGGTTTGAGAGAAAGAATGAAAGAAATAGAGAGAGAGAGATAGAGTTTGGCCCCTGGGTACAAAGTCTGAGGGTCTTAGCAGTAAGCTGACTTTGGAATTGTAAAACGTTTTGTCATCCTTTCAAAATAGATTGTTAAAACCAGATCAAATACTGGGCATCAAGTTACCATTAAAGCTTGGAGGCAGAGAATGTACCCTCCCTACTAACTCATCCATGCAAACACCGGGGCATCAGCTGTCTCATGTCATTGCCACAACTTTAACATTTACATCACGTCATCATGAGATGTACATGCAAACCAATTTAGCTTTACACTAATAATAAAGGCTCTAAAATAGATTTAACAGTGATGCCATTAAAGAACCATTTTAGCCAAGATCCTTTTCTTTGAATTTTATTTTTAGTGTGAAGTATATTTTAATCATTTATTCAATATTTAAAGAGTTTAGAAGCAAAAACCTCTAAATGCTGTTTCATATTTTCTTCCAAAATGAGCATTTCTCTCTGACTCCCATGTGTAGGCTCAGAAATGTAGTTTTTATAGTGATTAATAAGTTCTTTTCATTGCCTTGAAAGTGAATAACTGAACATAAACATCGGAGGCTGAGAAAAATGCTCATTATAGTAGAACATTTTAGATGGTCTTTAGAGATATTTGCGTCTGAACTCTTCTTTTGTTTAATAGAATGTTTCCATAGATGTTAAAATATCCTTATGGAATCATCAATGTTTTGAAATCAGATCTAAAAACTCTGAGCATTTCTATGTTAACCGCCTCTTTATTTTAGCGTTCCTGGTCAAAATGGACCGGTCTGTTTTAACTGCTCTTAAATAAAAACAAAAACAAAAAACAATAAATTCACCACCAAATTTTTATTCAACATTCTTTAGCTGTGAACAATGTCTTAAAGTAGTGTTTAACGTGGATTTCTAAAATTAGACATAAAAAAAACTCAGTGTCAAAATGCAAATAGGCACTGAAAATGTATTACAATGTGAACAATAAATTACAGAAATCAAAATGCTTTGTTTTATTACCAATGGACAGCTCGCTAAAATAACTATCACAGGGTCTGACCAAAGAAATTGAATTTTTAAATGATATAAATGATTTAACAACCAGTAAAGCACAATTTTTTTTTATATTTTTCTGTGTACTGAGTGCTTCAAATTTCATTCAGTCTTTCAATTGGATTTTATTAGTGTACTAATGTAGGGAACAATGAATAAGGGTATAGACACAGAACTAGCACTAGTTTTACTTTGGTCATTTTTTTTTGGTGAAATGCTAATGGTCTAATCCAATAAAACAATAAAGCTAAAAGTGTTCCTGCTAGACCCAGAGATAGTCTAAATGGAGATTGTCTGAAAGAAGGTAGGATTAAAAGAATGAAAGAAAGAAAGAAAGAAAGAAAGAAAGAATGAAAGAAAAAAGGAAAACACACACAAACACACACAGATAGCTTCACATAAAAGTCACATGTCTAGTCTGTGTAAAGACATAATAAATTTTTTCATCAGGAAGTTGGTTCACGTTGGAGGATCCAATGCTATCTCATGGCAATTTGTAACTTTTTGATTTAGTGGCTAACCGTACGTTCACACCGAAAGCGGCGAGAGCGTCCAAGGTCGCTCTGGCCGCCCTGGCGACAACGCTCTCTGCCTTCAGCTCCTGCGGCGAGAGCGTCAAAACTCGCTACATTGATCTCATATTTAAAGGAGCCGTTGCAGCATATCAGTTACATTCCTGCATAAAACATGTTTCTAGCGTGAAAATGTTGTGCACTTCTTATCAAATTCATACAACAATGGAAGATCAAGTTGCGTGTGGCTTTGCTCTATTTATCCAATATGTGTCCATATGTCTGAAATATCCTGAAGCAGCAGTAATGTTTTGTACTGTCACATCGTGTGAGATTCCCGCTTTTTAAAGATAAATATATAACATTAATGAACATCAGTAACTCGCCAGTAACTTATTTAATGCATGTTCCTGTAGGAAAAAATTGTAAATAATTGGAAATCCGGCGACTGCAATAATCAAACCCTTGGGAACAACTGTGGTCGGAACCAAAGTTCACAGGTCTGTGTTCTCTGAACTGCTATCAAGCGATGGACGTCTTCATTCTGATTGCTTGCCGCCGAACCGCGTCATAGCTCATTACCATAAAGTTGACTTCATTTCAACTCTCCTCGATGCTCACGCCGGCGAAGACGCGCCGCGCTGCTCCTCGCCGCTTATCGCCGCATATCGCCGCCGGCTCTCATTGAAAATGAATGACTTCCGGCTACTTTGACGCTCCCGCCGCTTTCGGTGTGAACGTACGGTAATTCGTATTAATTCATACAGTCTCATCTGTAAATATTAGTACGATTTGCTCGTCCTACTATGACGGTTTAGGGGTGGCGTTTGCTGCCACACCGCCTTTTATATATTTTGTATATTTTCCCACGACTGAATTATGAATTAGCCACTAAACTGACAAAACGTAAAGTAGTCACGTTTCCTCATGAGATCAGGCTGAAGTATCGTCACATAAGAGCTGGAAAGAGATATGTACACACAAAAGACATTGTTCTGTCTAAAATGTGTGTGAGAGTGAGTGGGTTGGGGTAATGTGTATGGGGATGTTTTCTGTCTGATGAATGAATATAGTCTGGATATACCCATTCATTTCCGGCGGTCACTTTTGACCGAGAACACCACAAGTGTAACAAGATTGAGTAAGCACTCAAAATTCAATGTAAGAGGTTATCATCACTTTTATATGTTTAAGTACATAGTGTGGAGGATATCATAAGGGCTTGAGGCAATCGGATGTAAAACACAATATTTTTAAGAGTTTTAAGCTGTAAATCGGTCAGATTTGACCCAAACACGAGAGGAGCAGGTGATATGATTGATCGCAGCTGGTCTCTCATCTACAATCATTAGTTAGCCATTCAGATTTATCCAAACTCACTTTAAGTAGCCCGGCTAAAACTTCTCTCTTATCTTCGTTTTCCGAAGAAACCCCCCGTCCACCCCATCTCCCCCTTTCCTCCTTTACCAGGGGGAGCTCTCGAGAACTACCTGATCTCATACTCCCCTTGCATGCTCAGCGACCAAGTGGGAGCCCTGGGTTCAATTATATCTGAGGTCATGGTTCTCTCCCAGGACAGCATGCCAAACCTGCTATTATTATCAAGCAATATCTTAGTGTAAATTCTTGAAATGATGTTTCAAGAGTTCACACTTAGCTGATAATCAATAAAGCGTATTTGGCATGCTGTCCCGGGAGAGAGCCCTGAGCTCGTAATATCCTCGAGCCCGGGGCTCCCTCCCGTTAGAAGGGCGAGAGGGGAATTCGTGGTCAGGTAGGTCTCGAGAACTCCCCTGCTTGTCACCGTGAGTATTGTAAACTAAGGTTGTATTGGGTGATAGTTTGCTTTAGTCGATTGGCTATGGTTTATGTTTTTGGACGGTGGGAGGAAACCGGGGAACCCAGGGAAAACCCACGCGAACACGGGGAGAACATGTAAACTCCACACAGAAACACCAACCGGCCCGATGGGTTGGACCGGCAGTGTTCTTGCTGTGAGGCAACAGTGCTAACCACTGGGCCACCGTGTCGCCCGATCAGAAAAAGTGGGAGGATGTAGGGGTGAAAAGGGGGGGAGCTTCAAGACGAAGATAACTGGAGTGAAAAACTCAGGTTATTTATAATGCTTCCGTAATCATCTAATAGGGCTGATTACGGAGCTAACAAGGAGCCAGCCGTGTTGATTATAAGCACGTGATCCTCTCGAAATTAGTTTATGAATAAACCACACTTAATAAGAAATGACATTCATATATGACTCAAAATCGACTGTATTACAAAACGTAGGTAGGCATTGCATTGAAAAAAAATATATAATCAACATTATTCTTGACATCAATCGAAAAGGGAATCCATTTAAACAGGTTTTGCTTTTGATGAAAGATTACAAGCTTGTTTCTTCTTCTTTGGATTAACATGCACGGATAATCTGTGCACAATATGACCAGAAGTACGTATTAAGAAAGTAAACAGTGTCATTGTTTGTTTCATGTTGACTTTGTTTGAGCATAAAGGAACACACCCTATCTGAATTAAATGCATCAGTAACGTCATGTGCTTGATAATGAAAGCTCAAGTCTTCGTTTCTTTAGATCTTTTTTAAAGTGCTTCCTTTCAATGTAACTCTTCTTGCTAACTTTTCTCTTTTTTTTTCAAACATCTCACTGCCTGCATTGTTGTTTATGACAACACTTAGCTTTGTGAAGTAAAATAGGGTCTTACAAGCACTTTCCCACAGTTTGACGTAAAAACACTAAATATGCTGCATTGGAAATCCATGAGTTAAAGCTTTGGCAAGCTCTGTTGTGTGTGTGTGTGTGTTTTATCCCTGGACATAGCTCCTGTGGAAAAGCAGTTTACGCACAGCACAGGTTCCTTCCGTAATGCATTTTCCACGGATTTTGTGCTCGCAGAACAAACGTCTGCTGGTTAACCCAGCTGTCACACATACAGTATATTTTCATCTTAGCATTCTTCTGGTTTTCCTTTTCTTCTTAACCTCCATTAACTCTTACTTTTTTTTATCCTGCTTTACAAAATCTGCAGTTCTGCTGAGTTCAGTAGTGTGGAAAAAACTGCCACAATAGCTTGTAGTGTCTGAGAGTGGTTTGAGTAAAGACTTCTCCAGCTGGGAAGAGGGTTTGCCAGTATCAACCAAATAAAGCCCTGGAACGATTGGTGGTTAATATAAACTGGTGCAAGAGAAATGTCCAAGAATTTTCTAGCTTTAATGTTTCAATGTAAGATGGAAAGGGCATGACCTGTGTAGTACCACTGTGCAAACGCTTGACAAAACTTTACAATTCAGATATAAATCATTGTCCCTCCAGTCAAATGGGATTGCACACAGTGGCTTTGTCTATTATTATTATTATTATAGAGGTTTTTAGAAGTTTGGGCTAAAAATACAAAAGTAGCTCTCTTAAATGTCACTCTTGTGGAAATAAAAAAAAAACTGACTGTTACATATTAAGTGATAGGCTGGGGTTTGGAGTTTCTAAAATAACTGTAAATGTATATTTGGTTCCAAAAAGTGACCTGGTACGCACACACATACACACACACACACACACACACACACATTGTTTATCAAATAACTAACACAGCACCTGTCAGACCCTCACAATACACTGACATGATGCTGCTTATAGAGCAAACAGCTACTAAAGCTATGCAGAGACAATAGAAGTGGTGCCCCTGCTGAAGGTTGGAGAACCATATATATCTGTTAAGCATATGAGGTCAGTTTAAAATATCTTTTTTTTTTTCCTCCATGCAATACATTTTTAAAATATGTGTTACACAAATAAATATTTATTTATTTAAAAAATAATATTGTATAAAATTTGACATGCTGGAATACTTTTGTTTAGTTTAATGAACTCCATAATTGATTCCATTCAACATGAAAACATAAATTATCAGATGAGACAGTATATAGATTTATTTATACAGGTTATCACTTATAATTTATATAGTTTTCCATAACAAATACAACGTTTTTAGTCACGTTATGTTAATTCATGCTATTATCAAACTATTAAATGATCAATGACAATTATTTCATTAAAAAATAACTCGTTTCCCATTGTTCAAAACTTATTTGAGTTTATTTCTTCTGTCGAATGCAAAAGAAGATATTTTGAAGATTCCCCATAGTACTCTCTTTTTCTAGATTCCCCACAATTAGCATTCTTCAAAAATCTTCTTTTGGGTTCAATTAAAAAGAAAGACACTCATCAAAGTTTAAAACCACACGAGAGAGAATAAATGATGAGGTCATTTTCCTTTTTGGGTGAACTATCTCTTTATCTAAGACTTTTAGCGCAATAAACTACTTGATTGCTTCTTATCGGTGGTTAGTAAGGTAGTATTTGAGTTTAGGTGTAGGATTTGGGTGTAGAAGAAAGATCATAATTTATAAGCAGTAATAAACAGCAAATCTTAATAACAGGCAGGTAATAAGCCAGAATTTACTATTGGGAATTGGTACTAATATTTCTTGAGATTTCATATTAGAATGATTTCTGCAGATCTCTTTGATGTTATTTAGGAATACATGACATTTTAAGATGTATTAAAAAATTTAAATGACCAACCCCCAAACCTCTGAACAGAACACTATAAAAACAAAACAAAAACAAAACAAAAGAAAAAGATCAATAAATTGTCACTTTATTTCAACTTTAAATTTAAGTTTTAAAGATTTAAACTTGATGTTTTAACCTTTGCTTTAACTTTTACCTAAACATTTTAGAAAGCAACTCTTTTTAACAACGTTATATCCTAGGTCCGAGTTAACTGAAAGGGACAGTTTATAACAAATAATAATAATAATAATAATAATAATAATAATAATAATAATAATAATAAAAATAATAATGATAATAACATAAAATAAAATAAAATAAATTGCACAGTTAATTTACTCATAAAACTTATATATGTGACATTTTTATTCAGTATGACTTTTTCAGGTGAATCTACAGCCATTGGTTTTATAGAATGCAGTTTATATAATGATGAGATTAAAAATGAAAAATGAATCCCCAAGGCTCTTGGTGATGCTCTGCTGTTTTTTGAAGCAAAACAATCGTTCTGTACAAGAAACCGAACATTCTTTTTAATATAATTAGCTTGGGCAAACAGAAATCAGATGCAAGTTCATTTATCTATCTAATTATCATTATCGAGTCATGCTTGCAGACATAAATTATAGTAGTTTCTTTCTCAGACCAATCATATCACTTCATAATACCCCAGTGTATGATCTGGAGACACATGACTTAATTTGAACTTGTCTGTATGCACTTATTTTTAATCTGAAAAACAAGTGACTATTGACTTGCATTATATAAATTACCACATAATCATTTACAATATTTTGTAAGTGAAATCTGGTCATTGAATATGAATTATTGAATTTACAAGTATAAAATGTTTGAAATATTTTTTGTTGAAATATCCACCGCTTAAATAAACAGCTATGTTCAATTTCAGGACCTAAAAATACAAACTCTGAAATTTGAGTCATTAAAATACAAGAACTTGTTAATTCGGTGTATATATTTTTTTCAGTTGGTGCCATTTAACAAGCTTTTTAATTCAATACTTTTGCCATTCATTTTCATTTTTTGATGAACTATTCCTTCAACAAAGCTCAGGAATCTAAGCAACTAGCTTTATTTCATGTACATCATAGTCTGTTCAACACAACTTAATTGAATTGTCCTATTTGTTTAATTTTCAGAAATTAGCTGCACGTCTACCGAAGATACGGTCGGCTCGGGATGCACCTCACAGCTGCGTCTGTCCACCAGGTAGGTTTCTTAACTCCATTTGTTTATTAATCCACAGCCCAGTCTGCTCCGCCTCTTACTTCTGATATGCAGCTGAATGTATATTATGGTTAAGTCTTTTGTTTTGTAGATATGTGAACTGATGCTATTTTCAGCTTCAGTAATCTGATTACCGTGGACAAGATTTCATTTCCCAATGAGACGTAAATAAGTGAAAAGAGTTTCCCTTCCCCTATCCGTTGGCTTTCCGTATGTGCCCTCATTGCTTTGGTGACAGGTGCAATCGTATTTTCAAGTGCTGTTGGCTGTCATTGGTTTCACTTTGTGTTTGAGCGGGTTGTGATGCAAGCCGGAGTGTTATGATGGCATCATCTGGCCATTCCTGAGCACAGGGAACAGTCAACAAGGTTCGCTGCGTACGACTGAAAGTCACATCCGTACAATACGTCCAAGAAAACTACCCTGTTAACAGAATGTTTAAAAGCTGGATTTTTTTTGGTGTATGTTTCATGAAATGAAATATTGTATTAATGCACAAAGGTTTTGAAATATCAAATGAATGCAGCAATAATATCATTTTTTTGAACTCTAAATATTTATTTGTTTATTTATTTTCACCAGTTGTGGCAAAAATTGTAACTTGTTTTTTAAATATTTAATGCATCCTTGTTAAATAAAAGTTTGTAATTTTAAACTGTTGACATTAGACAGTAGGGGCTCTATTTTAATGATTAGGCACAACGTCTAAAGCGCAGGGTGCAAAAGACTGAAGTACACATTTAATTTTTTAAATATCGTCACCTTAGAATTATAAGGTTCTATCTGCGTTATAAATGATTTTGAGATATTGGGCTTCAAGTTTTTGCATTTCATATAGCATATTAGCATGTCATATAACGACATGTGCGTAACAGTTCTCTTTTATACATTAACATGACAGAGACCCGAAGGGTTCTCTAAATGTAAATTATCAAAGTTCTCTTACATTTGCAAATTAGAGTAAAAAAAAAAAAAACACGGTGAATGCAGATAGAAGCTTCTAATTCTGAAAAGTCATTTTCCACTTGGAATCATAAGGTTCTATCTGGCAAATCGTTTACTATAGCATTACTTTTCAAGAAATACAATCAAAAATATATATAAGTTGGTGTTTTAACAATGTGCTTGAATAATTGAATGTGTTGAATGCTTGAGAAAGTTAAACTTTTGCTTTCTATAATGTTTATTTCATGTTTTAGAATGAATATTTTTCCTTGTTCAAATTAAGCATACAAGACTCTGCTAAACATTTTTTTTCCAGTGCTGATGTTAATTTGATCTAATTAATATGTTACTATTTATTACATTTTATGCTTTATATGAATTATTAAATTATATTTATTGAATTACATGCCCCATGAATTAAATTAGGTATTTGCACAGGCTTAATATCAAATTTAAAGACTTTAGAAGAAACAGACGATGACCAAATGAGTTTAATAAACACTGAAAACTATTTCACTGACTATATGTAAACAAAAAATTATTTCACATTTCATATATAATTTTTTTAATATTAATTTCTTTTTCAACAATGTAAAATTGAACATTTCATCTCAATGTCGGCTATGCGGTGACGCAGTGGGTAGCATGATTGCCTCACAGCAAGAAGGTTGCTGGTTCGAGCCTCAGCTGGATCAGTTAGCATTTCTGTGTGTAGTTTGCATGTTCTCCCCGTGTTTGCGTGGGTTTCCTCCGGGTGCTCCGGTTTCCCCCACAAGTCCAAAGACATGTGGTACAGGTGAATTGGGTTGGCTAAAAATGTCCGTAGTGTATGTGTGTGATTGAGTCTCTATGGGTGTTTCCCAGTGATGGGTTGCAGCTGGAAGGACATCCGCTGTGTAAAACATGACGGTTCTTTTCGCTGTGGCGATCCCAGACTAAAAAATGGACTAAGCCGAAAAGAGAATGAATGAATCTCAATGTCAAGAAATGCTTCTAAATCATCACCTTTACAAACGTCTGAATTTTGTGTGGTTCGGCATTATTTAGCCGACTCTGATTTAGTGTGATTTTGTCTTTCTGGCTTTTCCTGTTGTCAATGAAGCAGTCTGGCAAAATGACAAAGAAAGCTGATTCTGATTGGTCTTTGTGCGTGCATTAAACAGGCTGATTGGCTCACAGATAGAACCTTATAGAGACAAGCGAGTTCAACTTTGTAGATAAACCTTTTTTGTTTTATTTAAAAAGAGTTTTAAAAATGTAAAACAACCTATAAAAACATCACATAATGTAAATAAGTTGTCATTTAATAAGAATATGTGAATAACTCAATTTTGACAAAAATGGCAGGTAGAACCTTATAATTCTAAGGTGGCGATATATTAAGAGAAAACTGATGTTTTAAGTTGTGATAAATGACTGTTTTTTTAAATAATAATTCTTAATTGAATGTTAAAATAAAAGCTTTGGCAAGAATAAGAGACTTTGAAAAAACATAACAACATCGTTTTAACTATTCCCAACTAAAATTTCCAAGCAGCTACATTTTTATTTGCTTTCATATCCTCCAGATGTCAGTCATTAGACAACCTCTTGTGTTATAGCTTGTGCTTGTGTTATAGCCTGCGCTTATGTGTATGTATGTGTGTGTGAATTTACACAACTCCGAGAACCAGGCCAGATGGTACAGACATCCCAGTGTTAATTAGGCCAGTCAGTACTAGTCATTGTTGTGTTAACTGAGTGGGAAGTGACTTCAGACGGCGTAGTGAAACCGGTTTAAGATGGACATGTCGTGGATAGGCACTTCTGCTCCAGGTGTGGGGACCGTTTAACAGCAGGCATCCCAGATGATGATCGTGTTTGTTGTTGTTCAGCCTTTATTGCTATGCCGTGGGAGAGCGTCTGATCTCGCAATACAGGCTGCGCGTTTCTCTTTGTTTTTTTTGTTTTTTGACTCCATTTCAAACATGTAATGACAACCAGACAAAAGATGAGCATGAAAGTGTTTTTGATCTTTGTCAACTGAAAGCTGAATTAACTGTAGTTACAGTAGAGTGCAGTGATTGTATACATTGTGCATGGTTCTTGATGAATGCATGGGTATAAATACTGTGTGTATGTAAAGAAGCGTCCACATATATGTCGTTCTCAATGTCGCCAGCTGCCGCTTGTCAATCACTCCAGCACGCAGTGTTCAGATGGCTTCCATTCCATTGTTTATTTTGAGTGCTCAGCGGTGGGTAATAGTCTGTGGCCCTTTCATCAAACGCATAGGCTCTCATGTATACATGTATCATTGATTAACTGTTTGAGGTAGAGAATAGGGGCAATAATATTTCTGTTTGTAACGGTATAGAGTAAATGCATTAACAAATGTGTATTTAGTCCACTGGTATAGTTAACATTTCCTCGTCTTAATTCATTTAATAAGTGTTTGACTTGTGTATTATTAATCTTGTCTTATTATGTTTAAGCGAAGATGATGTGTGGTCTGTCTGTAGGACTACATGGAGGTTTTTAATTTGAATTCTATTCTATTTTTTCAGTTTGAGTCTGTTCCTCTTGTAGGAACAATATAACACCTGGTATATGGGCTTGGGGAATGTTTCAACACATCCAAATGGGTTTATTTTTTCAGATTTTGCAAATCCCAAAGGCCTTCAGAGGTTAAGTTCACTCAGCCCGTGTTTAAAAACTCATTTGGCCCATTTGCATTCACTTAGATTCCTCCAAGATTTGTTTTTATTAACAAAGTCAGAGTCAGTTCATCCGTGCAACTGTTTACTGGAGCGGTTACAGTGCCACACAACGTCTTACTATAAAGAAAATGATTCACCTTCTCGGAGTAGGGCTGCGTGATTATTTTTGGTCAGTATTGTAATCACGACAACTTTGTTTGGGCTATATGACAGAAAAACAAAGTAAAACAAAGAGACAAAAACTTCTCAAAATAATTCTGATTCAAAAATACAATTGAATAAAAATAGACAAATAATAAACAAATTAAACAAACAGTGCTGTAAGCATAGTCTTCGTTGGACAAATTAAATTTGTTTTGTTTCATATTAAATATAAAAAAGTCCTTCAGTCAAGAGCAGTTTGTTTTTGTCTTTTGTTGTTTGATCAATAATGATAAGCTCAGTCGGCAACAGGAATATAGCCCCCTGCCACCTTAAGAGCCACACAGATCAGGGTTGTGCGATGTTGACCAATTTGGCATTGTACAATGTCTAGTGTGTAACATCGCGATCGACAATGGCATCGTCATCGTAGGTGGTGGTGAATTAATTATTTATAAATAAATAATTAATTCATAACAAATTAATTATTTTAGCCTATCATTTTAATTACCTGACCCACATGGTCTTTGTTTTACCCAAAATCTTAAATAAATAACGAGAAGTTACACACAAATTACCACCTGTCAATCACTTTTTCTGTGGGACTCTGGCATGAATAGGAAGAGTGATCTGTGTCGTTATAATGGCGTACACAAAATTGGTTGGTAAAAAAAGTGCACAACCAACAGCAACCAACCAACAGTATCTGAGGTTTTCGCTAAAACAGTAAAAAGTACAAGCATGAAAGTAAAAGATTAAAGCAGTGTACTACTGACACTGTGACATGACCTGATAGATCGAAGACCGAAAAGTCGTTAGATAGAGACAAGATTAATGAAATGTCACATTTAAAAACTATAGTGAGACGCGATCCAGCGATACATCCTTGATAAACTGGCCCATGTGCACTGCTCTCTGGGGTTTTGTGCTCAAAGCACCTGCTGACTGCCTGGAGCTCAGACGGGCTTATATGCTGCAGCACATGCCTGCATTCAGCAGTATTGAGTGGATGGAGAGCTTTTCAGAAATGCTATATGAAATGTGGATCTATTTCGTTCTAAAATGCCATTTTTAAACAAAAAATTATTAGTGTAAACGGAGCCTGAGTGTTGTGTTTTTCGCAAGCAGGTTGCTGCTGCGACGGGGCAGGGCGGAGGACCGTAATGGCTCTCGGACGATGGCATTGTCTATTGTCTC